TCTATGTTAGCCATATGGCTCAGTACCTTTTTCAGTGGGACAGCTCACATCCTGCTGCTTCGGTGATCTGAGAAGGAGTGGAAGGAATCAACTTCTTCCTCCCCAGAATTCTCCTGCTCTCCTTGCATCATTTCCACTTCCTGTCTGGTTTTCCCACCTACACATCCTGCCTGGCCAATCAGCATTTATTTAAAACATGACTGACAGAATACAGACAATTCTCAAGCACCACTTCCCCCTGTTTTTTAAAAAATAAAAAAATAAAAAAAAACAAAGGAAAATATCCATAGTCCATTTTTTGGGAATGTGAGCATAGTATTTCAGGCTACTTACTGTGATTTGTTCTTCTTATAAAGGAATCTGAGATGTTGCATTGAGAGTTGTTTCTAGTCTAGATTAGTTTCCTCTCAGTTCAACCAACTACATCTGCAGCAATTTAATTGCAAAGAATGTATGTAGAAAGACTACATGAAGATGTAGAGTAATGAGGTCCATTTGGAAAGGTGAAATTTCTGTCTCGTGCATGGAGAGAACATTGGTACTACATGGAAAGATGGCACATTCCTTTTTACTCATCACAAAGACACCAAATGTAGATTTGAAAGACTTAACAACAAAAATGCAAAAAAAAAAAGCCAGGTAAAATGTTCTTAGCATGGAGAACTGCCCTGAAAGCAATGTTAACATCAATATGGGAGGAGGTCATTTATTTATTCCCACCTGCTCAGACCCAAAATAATCACACAGAAACTATATTATTTTAATCACTGCTTGGCCCATTAGCTCTAGCTTCTTATTGGTTAGCTCTTACATCTGAATTTAAACCATTTCTAGTAATCTGTGTATTGTCATGTGGCTGTGGCATACCAGGTAAAGTTCAGTCCAACTCCAGCAAGGCTACATGGCTTCTCTCTTTGACTCCATCATTATTTCTCCAAGCATACAGCCTAGCTTTCCCCACCTAGTTCTGTTCTTCCCTGCCATAGGCTCAAAACAGTTCTTTCTTTATTAACCAATAAAACCATAGACAGAAGGACCTCTCACACCACATGAGTGGTAATATGCATCTATATAAGCTGAAGCTGTCTGATACAACCCTAGGGTTCAGAGAATCTTATCAAGGTATTTGTTTGCAGTAGTATGATAATAAGGAATTCATTCACTCCTCAACCAGTATTATGGGACCAATAATAAAATGCAAGCAACAGCACCAAGTAGCACTCAATAGACACAGAGGCAGTATCACCTTTGATATTGATGTATATGGGCCATGAGATTCAAAGAAGGGTGTCTGATTTCATATTCTCAATAGATTTCCAGGTGTCAAGAGTAGTAAAGTAGTGTTCCTGCATTGATATCCTGTGTCATAATTACTTTTTGTGTTGTTAAAATAAAGCCTATTTTAAAGTGATTGGATAAGAATTTTAAGAGGAAAGAAGGGAAATTACAATATAATGAACTCTAGAGTGATTTTTACATAAAATTCAAGTACTAGAGCAATAGAATGAGAGGAAAATGAAAAACCAGTGCTAAATTAAAACAGCACAAAGCATTATCATTAGGGAAGATTTACAAGCCTGTGTTCCTCCATCTCTACAGTAATTCCAAATTTTTGGAATATAGAAACAGCAATAGGATTTCTATTCAAAGATCTTACCTTTTTTTTAATAAAAGAGGATGACACATTGAAAATGGAAATATGCATGAAAAAACTCCCAAATCATCATTTCATTCAGTAGCCACCACAGTAAATCTAAATTTTCTCAGGATAATTAAGATGATTTTATCTTAAACATTAATAGGATATTAGTGAATAAAATTATCCATCCCAAATCTACCAGCTACAAAAAGCATCAATGTGTCACAATTTTGTCTAATTAGAGGTTGGTTTCATAATAATATCTAGACTTTCTGATGCAGCTTAACTGAATATGAGTGTGATGCAAACCCTCAAGTGTCAACAGTAGAATTAGTGTGAAGGGGCTGACTTTTAAAAGAAAATCATATCATAATTGTATGACTGAATTTTTAAATGGATGTTATTATCCATCCAATAACTCCAAAACCACAAAAAGAAAATAAAAAATATGAAGAATATTTCACTATGAAAGGTTTGTTTTGCTAAAAAACAAAGTAAGAAATATAAAAAGACAAAATATATATAGAAGCTTAACACAATTGCTCTTAATTATAAATATGTCTATTCAAATAAAGCAATAGACATTATTAGCTAACATAAATTAAAATTTTTTTATTAGAAAAAACTTTACAGTTGAAGATAACAAGAATAAAATTAAGATTTCTTTTTGTTAAATGTTACCATTGTTATGTGTCAGGATAAATGTGGAAAATATTCTAAATAATCTAAATTTTATCTTTTATATGAGCTTGTAATAAAAGCCCATATAAAAATAACATTTTGTAAAATGATGTATGTTGATTTGTTCATTATTTAAAACATCATTTTCTAGGGAAATTAAATTCAGATATAGAAGTTAGGAGAGTGGTCAGAAGAGAAACAGGCACACAGAGAAATAGAGGAAGGAATGGAAGAACGGAGATAGGGAGGGAGAGGACAAGTTTTCATGTGATTAGTCAAAGAAAGTTTGATTCTGCATTATACGTACTTCTTTTTTGGCCACTGTGTTTCTTTCTTTTTATTTTCTGCCGTCTTTTTCCGTCTACTTCTTCTCTTCCTTTTTTTTCTTCTTCTTTTCCTATTCCTCTCTCATCAGCCTCTCCCATGCTATATAGGAAAAAAGAATAAACCTCTCAATTTAGCGTCCAAATGTTTTTCTATCTGTATTTAAGACAACAAATCCAAAGCATTAGTTCTGTTTTTTCAATTCTCATAAATCTTAAAACCCATTTTATAAATCTATGCTTTCATATTGGCCATGTTTCACAGTATAGTACTGTCTTAGTAAGATCAACAGATTAGTTAAGAATTTTGTTTCACAATCCCAGAGAACCTAGACAACAATGAGGACCCTAAGACAGACATACAGAGATCTAATCTACAAGGAAACTTTAGAAAAAGACAAGATCTCCTGAGTAAATTGGCAGCATGGGGACCTTGAGAAAGAGTTGAAGGGGAGGGGAGAGGCAGGGATGGGATTAGAGAAACATGTAGAGCTCAATAAAAATTTTAATTGAATAAATTTGGTTTATCATAAATAAAAACCTTTTGTGCAGCAAAGACTTTTGATTTTATTTCTTAACTACTATGGATTTTCCTATATATATACATTAGAGAGATTGTGGAATTGTACAACAGTATAGTATTCTTTTAACACGTAGCATTCTGTGTCATTTATATTCTTCCCTGTGCTTTTTTCCTCTGTGTATGTCTTCTTTAAAAAATCAACAAAACCAACTGCTGAGTATATTAAAGACATACAAATTGCATCAAACCAGCTGCTGAATATATTGAGGACATGCAGATTGCATATTCAAAAGTCTGTGATGTTAGGAAAATCTAAAGAAAATTTTGATTGTACAAGCATTGAAATTCTCTCTTAACCGGTTTATTTATTTATTTATTTATTGTTTTTGGAATCAAAACCCAGAATGAATGTGTGTGAAACGGAGACAATTGTTGACTGTTAACAAATCATTGCACTTGACAGAAATCTTTTCTGCTATTTGAAAATATTAATTCTGTCGTATAACATGAGGAATATTAGGGAAGATGCTAATACATAAAACAGAATGTGAAGTTCTGTAAATGGTGATACATGAGGGAGAAAGTTGAAATTATCTGGATGGGGATACATGAGGGAGAAATGTACAGTTCTGTGGATGGGGATACATGAGGGAGAAACATGGAGTTCTGTGGATGGGAATACATGACGTGGAAAGGTGCTGTACTGGGAATGGTGAACTTTAGTTCAGGGTAGATTAACTTGGCATTTTACCCTTAGTGGCCTTGCTTCTTCATAATATGCCACCTTCACCTGCTGATGCTCATTTTAACTCTATATTGATCTCTATATATTTAAATATGAGACAAAATAACTAAACAAGAAAGGAAAGTGTTAACTCATCCCTGTCCTAAGTAGGTTCTAGGTAGAGTGAAGGGCTTGATAAAAACTGGTATTCGGATATTAGAGTTCTGCTTTGTAAGTGGATCAATGTTGGTCCTGCCTGAATGTGAATTTTTCACTTATTTAGTTCATTCTTTTATTTAATTAAATGTATTTATTTATTTTACATTCTGATCACAGTTTTGCCTCCCCCCTCTCTTCCCATTTCCTCTTCACACATCTTCTCCCGTGTTTCTGTTCTGCAAGGGACAAGCCTCCCATGGGTATCAACAAAACATGGTATATCAAATTGTAGTAGAATTGAGCTCCTCCCCTTGTATTAAGGCTGAGCAAGGCAACCAGTATGAAAAATGGGTTCCCAAGAGTCAGCCAAAATGTTAGGGACAGCCCCTCCTTATACTGTTAGGAGTCCTACAAGTAGACCAAGCTAAATATCAGTTACATATATGTAGAGGGTGTATGTTGGTCACTGGTTGTTGATTCAGACTCTGTGAGCTGCTTTGAGTTCAGGGTAGTTGTTTTTGTCAATTTTCTTGAGGTGACCTTGACCCCTCTCACTACTATAATCCTTATTCTTACATCAGGAAGATATAGGGGGAAATGATTCTGTTGGAGAGGAGTAATTTTAAATATATATTAAAGTTTAAAAAGGTAAATTTTTTAGAATCATCTATGTGAATTGTTAACCCACTCATTTATATAGCTAACTGTGCATGATATTTGAACAGCCTTTAAAATTAGAAAGCAACGGATTCTTTTTCTGAAATAGCTCTACTATATTTTACACAGTTCTCAGGTTTTTTGACATATAATTTCACTCCAAATATATGATACATGAATTCAAATAGTTTTATTTTTATGTATCTGAGGAACAACAAAGTCTGTTTATTTTCATTTGCATAAAATAAAGAAGCAATGAACTTTTATAAGTTTGTTTTTACTTTCTGCTTTCAGGGTTCAAGTTGAATTCTACATGAATGAAAATACATTTAAAGAGAGATTAAAATTGTTTTTCATTAAAAACCAGCGATCAAGTAAGTTATTTCCATTATTCATTTTATTCTCTGAATAGGAATCTATCTCAAAATTCCAACAGTGTAATATTTCACAAAGTCATACTTTGTATAACAGAATAAAATGGGGAGAAGATTTAGTTAGAAGTAAACATAAAAATTGAATAACAACAACAGACAAAAAAAACAGAAGATGCTACATCTAGTAGTTGAAAATTCTCTTTACTATTTTAGGTCTCTAAACCCCAGATGAATAAACAGAGCTCTGTGTGCCATGTATGAATTCTGAAAAATACAAACGTAGTTTAAGTAGAGCACACCTTTAATCTCAGCACTCAGAATGATGAGGCAGAAGGATCAGAAACCCACAGTCAAGAAAGCTTAATGTGTTGGGGAGGGGCTCATAAGCCTTATGTCTCCCTGATATGGCAGTTAATGGTTTGTGGGGATAGGGCATCCATTTTGTACAGTGGTGTAATCACTGGATAATTGTCATACTCCTGGAAATACCCTGACTCATATTCATCAAGTAACCCTAATTTAATTCAAGGCTTTTGAAATTAAAACAAAATGTATAAAAGTAGAATGGGACTATTTTGGGGAGTAGAACAGGTTGAACAAGAGTAAAGGGGGAACAAAAGAGCAGCTGTGGTGAGGATGATGACAGTACATTATATGTTTATACCAAACACTCAAAGAATATATTTAAACAATCTTAATTTTCTGGTATCAAAACAATTTGAGAACAATTTAGGCTACAGAGTCATTATAAAACTATCTTGATTAGAGAGTGAGAACCTGTCTCAAAAACTTCCCCTAAACAACAATACCTCACTATTTAATTGACTCATGCTTTCACTTGTGAGGGCTGTGTAAGCTATCATTTGTCAAGTTTCAAGAAATTAAGTACTCACAATGGGGAATAATTTTCTGAGTTAATAAGGGAATAATTCAATGATTGTCAGTCACTCCCGACGACAATACTCATCAAGTGTACCCTGAAGTGTAAGGATGGATGTAGTTCTTGCTATAGAGCAAGAACTTACATAAGACTAGGATCAGTGTAAGAGGTTAACGCCCTGAAGATGCTTGTTAATAAATTGGGAACCACTGAAGACTCAGAGTATATAAAATTAGGAACCCTGCTGAATCCTACCTAGGTTAAAGTGTGTGTGATACTTGCTGCTGTGCACAATCCTATGTGCCTTTAGACTGTTTATAATTACAAGATTGTGAATCACAATATAAGAAACATAGAGAACTTAACTGTACTAGCATAGAGTTAGGGCTGTGAATTTTAACCCATGGATATCTTTGCACTGATTTAAACTAAATTGTGTGTTAGCTGGTAGCATTCGTAGAGAAAATCTTGGTTTGTGAGCGCATATCCATATACTGTCTATAGAAAATACATCAGTAGTTAAACCATACTGGTGAGATATTCACAATGACAGAGTAGCTTCAACAGTAAAGTAAGAAGTAATTAGTGCCTTCCTAACTTTGATTTTAGAGTTTCCAAGGAAGCCCTATCAGTAGATACTACTAAAGGGATTAAATCCTCCAAATGAAGGCTTCCTCAATACACTTATTCAATGTTAGGCCTGGCATTGTTTGAATACTCATCTAAGTAAAGAGAAGACCCATTTTTATAAGACTATAAGTTATGAGATAGAATAAACCCTTTTCAACCCTGTGGTGTTTTTGTTCAGAATGCCTTATTGCAGCAACTGACCTGAATCTTGAGAAGATGGCAACCTACAAAAAACTTCAGCACTTTAATAAGAAATACTAGAAACAATTACACAAATAAAAAAATGTACTGTTAAGGAATATTATAATTCATTCTACAAAAATAAACTGCAAAGGTAACAGTTCATTCTAGATTCCATCAATTAATAATTATTAGAAGGCTTTTCTTACAGTTTTATAAAAGATACATAAAGCAAATTACACTGTTAATTACACACATGGCCAAGTGTCTGTTAATCAGTTCAGAGCATGTTTACTTAACCTTCTTCAGCAAGTATCATGGTCCTTCAGGCTGTGACTTAAGCAGTTTGAATGGCTTATCTATGATGGTCTTAATTTTCACAAAATTTAAGATTCCACTGGCATGAAGCCTAGTTTTTAAAAAGTTTAATTTGTTCAATTAAAGTATGAGAAAGGTATTTGTCTAGATGTGTATTTGACAACACAAGCGATAATGGCTTCCTTTTGTATATGATGATATAATTACTATACAACTTATAATCATAGAGATGATATATGTCATAACATAAACATAATAGCACAAGTATCACACATAATTATATAAACATGTTTTGTCTATAAACAAATCAACAAGGTGTTACAGAGTCATAGGATTTATGATGGTGTCTGTGGGGGCAGATTGATTTTTAAGCTAAAGTTCGTCTCCAAGTAATGATTAAAGTACTTACAGCTGTTCACTGAGAAACTTGTACCAACCATGTCTGAATAATAACTTTGTAGCTTTTGGCATTTAAAACCTGAACCTCCCATCTGTGGAACGCACTGTTATTTTCATTTCATTGATTCTATAACACTCAAATTTTATTTTAGTAGGTGAATGATTAAAAATCAACGACCAAAAACTTCAGGAAGTTTAGAAAATTGCATTTGTGTGCTTTTAAAATACCTTCTAACTACTTATTTAAAGCTGATATTTTGACCATATTTTTTTCTTTCTCTTTTATGTCCTGAGTTCAAATTAAAACTAATTTTGTTATTTGCTTAAAGGTCTAAGAATCCGCTTGTTCAACTTTTCTCTCAAATTGTTAAGCTGTTTATTATACATCATCCGTGTGCTGCTTGAGAAGCCCTCACAGGGAAATGAATGGTAAGCTTTCTCTGTGACTGCCACAGTATTTTAATTGTTTTGAATTGTTATAACTAGCAGGATGTTATTCACTTTTTAGAGGATGTGAGACATTCGTATAAACTGATCTGATCTTTGGGTAATTCCTGTCTTCCAAGGTTTGTGGGTGCATTATTTTAATGATAATCTGAACTCTGTTCCATGAATGTACCAGTCAAAATGCTATGAATATTATTTGAAATTATATGAATATTATTTGAAATCTTGCTACAGATTTGAGTGCCTTTCTGTTATTGAATCACATATGCTCTACAGTATGCAAGCTTTCCACACACTTTCTGTTACAATGCACTTTCTTCAATGAAAACACTAACGAATCTCTCAAGATGTTTTGAGCCTATGAATATTTATTTTTTTAAGTAATATTAATTTATTGATGTATTTTAGGGTTTTTTCATTCACAATTCTGCTACTTTGCTTAACATACTTCCGCCAAATCATTGCCGTCCTTTTAGTCTTTGTTCTCTGCAAGAACAGTAGGGTAGATGTCTGAGTGTATAATGATATTCATACAAAACTTTTATCTCATTAACCCCCAGGACTCCTGGCCTTCCTAGTTAATTTACAAAAATATTCAAAGGAGAAACTAAAACCTGATGACTAACTCCTGTTATACGTTTGTCTCTTTAAGTTTTGCCTTAAGATCAAACAAAATTACACTAGTAAGAGAGAAAATGAGTTTATCATATATATGAGAATCCAGCATGTTTAGGAAGTGATTTTAATTTTGAATTTTTTAAAATTAAAATAAATAAATATTTATTTAAAACTTAAAAATTCTAAATTTATTTGAAATTATTAAATAAATAAAAATAAATTCAATTTAATTGGATATTAGATGAGGATTAGTAAATGAATAAGTCAAATTTGGCTACGGTAAAAGTATGTGTGATAATTACTAATGAAAGAAATTATGGTTGAATCACTCTCATGGATCCTTGATCTGTCTCAGTAATATTCCTGTAAATGAAGTTAGAGAGAGGCTCATTAGAACATTCAGTTTTCTCCAGGAATCTTCTGCATATGTAAAAGGTGTTTGGGGAAATGCTGCTATTTTCCAGCAATGGATTCGTTTCATGGTATATGTTATTTCCTTCAATATACAGCTATCATTCTTAAATCAGAATCAGAGGTTTACTCATATTTGTTGTTTCTGCTGTGGGACATTTGTGACAAATCTCATTATGCCTATTTTCCAGTGACCATGGGGGACAATGCCTGCCTTTTCCCCGTATCTTAAGTATGTTCTCTACTCAGATTCTCTACTTGACTACCCAGAATTCATCCTAAGCTTATCATGTCCCAATAGGGTTCTGCACTCTTCTTCCTTTCCATGATGAAGAACAGCATTCTCAGTATCCTGCCAAGTCACAGCCTTCTCCGTTGCTGAATTCTAACTGAAAAATGGCTTATCTCAATATTTTTTGAGTTCACCTTAACTTCCAAGATGAAAGTTTTCCTTTCCAGTTGAAAACCCCTGAGAACATTTGGTTGTTCATACAGTCAACACCTCCTATGATTTTTATTGTTTTCCAATGAATTACCTTAATTCGGGCCATATACATTTTTCAGGACTGTTGCAGTAGCCTGCAACTCAGTTTTGCTAATCTACCAATGTTCCCTTTTGTTTTATTTTTGATAGGAGAGTTAATGCCTGTCAAATATAAGCCTAGTTTCTATTCACCTGCTTCAAATGACAAAGTCCCTGCATTACATCCCACTTTCCATGTTATTTAACCTGTAAGTGCTGGTCCACTGCCACTTCTCACTAGGCCTTGTTTCTATTCTTAGGTAATCACATATCCAGATCAGAGATTCCATAGGTTTTGGCTGCTGGTACTTCTCTTAACACTCTCCTTATAAGGTCTCCCAAAACTTTGCTTATTTTTATACAGTACCTTTGTCTCTTTTACATACTGTACATATTTTTTTTTGCTCGTTTTACTTTCTGAGTTTTCTGTGAGTATTAGAATAGACACATAGGTCATTGGCTAAATTCTAGAGGTGGGCACAATGAGCACTAGTCATTTTTCTACACAGGTGAATGAACAGATGTGTAAATGACAGATTTTATTCTAGCTCTTGTTTATATCTCTTCATCTGTTTCTAACTCTAGCTGTGGTGTCCTGCATAGAATTACTAGGATTTTCTGTGCCTTCTTTTATATTGAGACTTCTTAGAAATGTATTTTCCCTATCTGCCATTCAAAATTCTTTCCTTTAAACTTTTTGAGATCCTGGACGCTTCAGGTTATCAACTCTTTGGATAATATATAAATATGAAGTCCGTATTTGGCATTTACCCAGGCAGTCTAGTTCTACACTAATTTGGGAATACCTGCACAACTTCCAGGTATTTTTCTTAAACACCCTAATGCATTGCTCTTACATTTCCCACTCATTTCTCTGTCTTATCTGGAAGTTTGTTGAGGTCAAGAGCCATGTCATTTTGTAGGTCTCTCTCATACTTATCATAAGTCTTAGGAGATTCTGTTATTATAATTCTCTTTTAATAGAATTATGTCCACAAATATTACCAGTGTTTTTTTGTGAAGATTATTGAGGACCAAGATCTAGATATGTCAATATATGTCAATTTTATTCCATGCTTTCGTCTTTATGTTATTATAAAGGATATCCCCTAAAAATCTTTCTATAAAGTACCAAAGTTGTTTTTAAAACTTGCTGACTTATGAACAGAATGTACATTCGAGAGACCTGACAATCCTAAAACAGTCCATGAAGGATCCTCCAAAAGGAAAAGCCATTGGTGAATAATGATAGCAGAATAAAATTATATTATTTGGAAACATTAAGAGGACAAAGTTTCCTACAATTAACTTCTGTGTCATATTACTAAGAATTTCAGTCTTAATTACAAAGGATATACATTTGAAAAATTAGATTCTCACAATTAAAAACCATAATAAACTAACTTATGTCTCCAATTCGAGTACACTGTTTTGTTTAGTTCTATTGTCAATGCAGTCTTCGTTAATTAAAAACAGAAATGTTCTTTATGGGTACAGGCTCTATTTTAAAATAATGAGACTAATTTGGCAATAAGATTTATTTGATTATAATTCTGACCTGATAAGGATGCAGATATTTTGAGCTGCTTTGTTTTATTTTTAAGCTTCTCCCAGGAGTCAAACTGATATGAAACTATTGCAATATTGACAAACAGAAAGATACGAAAATAATTTTACTGAGAATATTTGAGATCATGGGTACTGCAAACATTGGAGTATGTGGTGTGTCATTAAGAATTTCAAGTTTGTAGTACAGGAGACTGCTCTGTTTGTTAGTGGCTACATTAGAAGAAGAACTGTGTTTCCTCGGGGCCCTTAGAAGCATACATTTCAATTTTAGCTAAATGCACACTCTTGTTTCGACTTTTAAAAATGTTTAAGTGATTTAAGTGATATTATTATTTGCAGCAGTATTGTTAGTGCTATTGTTAGGGGTGAGACAGTAATAAGAGGCAGCGTCCAGTGAAGAAGCACATCGTGGTGGTTAGTTTTAATTTACAGCACAATCAGGAATGGCCTAGGAAGAAAGTCCAAATAAGATAGTAAGCATTTGTTGTGATGTCTGGCTTCTGTTAATGGGACTAGGGTGACCTGCCCATTGTGGGTGGCAACAGGAGTTTGATTGTAGTCTTGCACTATACAAGGTGGGTAAAGCCAGCTGAGCAAAAGTGTGTATGCATTCCTTCTCCCCATGCTCTTGACCGTGGTTGGGACTAGCTGCTTCAATCCCTAATGATTGTGACAAAAATCTTCCCTGGAACTGAGCTCAAATAAACTATTTCTCCCCTTTGTTTTGTTGGAGCTTCTGGAAAGGAAACTGAGGCACACAGGAAAGATTCTGGATTTTTAAATTTACCCTAAATTTGGAGCTTATGTAATTTCTAGTATGATGAAAATTTACAGATTATTACAACATAATGATAAGAATTATTGTAGGAAGTCATAGAATTGTGGCAATATCTTTTTTTTTTCAAGACAGGATTTCTCTGTATAATTCTGGCTGGTCAGTGCTCACTCTATAGACCAGGCTGGGATCAAGCTCACAAATTCTATGTTAGTATGCTGTGAAAAGTTGTTGCATCTGTTTACCATTCCTTTTTTGCATTTGACTGTTTCTAGCCTTCTTCTAATGTAATAATGGTTCTTCTTCTAATGTAATAATGCTTAATACATGAACTTGATCTAGTTGCATAGTCAATTTAAGCATAAACGATGTGTATTTATTTTTTATTATTTTCTTTTATTGTTTCATTTCAGTTATTTACTTTTGAAAAAGTAAAATTGTTTCCTATTGATGCTTTGGTGAATAATTCACATTGATGATTAACAGTCATTGGTCATGAATGCTGTTGTGTTTATTACTCTGCCATCCTGATGATCATGATGTTTGGTCATTGGGTTTTTGGATAGATCCCAGTTACTTTCCTCTTATGTATTCTACTGTAGTAAATATTACTTGTATATAATTTATTACTTTTCCCCTCCCTTAATTTTTCTTATCAACAAAATGATGTTTTGTCTGTTACTTTTGTATAGCTGTCAATTCCAGACTTGATTCTGAAGACAGTTCAGAGATGAATGAAGAACACCTTAAAGGGGTTGAGTAAGGAAGGAGCAAATCACACAGAGAAAATATCAAAGAATTCCATTTCACGAATTTTAATCTTTATCCTTTCTTTCTATTGCATCCTGGTCACAGCTTCCTCTCCCTCATCTCTTCCCATTCCCTTCTCCTAACCCCACTCTGTCCCCAACATCCAATTTACTCTCCCACAAAATATTTCATATCATGTTGCAATAAGTGCCTCACATGTATTAAGGTTGGGCAAGGCAACGCAGTTTGTGGAGTAGCATGGAAATGGCAGTCCAATAGTTAGAGATAGCCCCTGCTCCCACTTTTAGGAGTACCATAAGAGGAAGTGGAGGGAATGGAAAACCAATCCATTCATATACATTTCCACCTACAGTCTGTCCTGCCTGTGGGATGTGCTGGGATTGATGCCTAGCCCAATTGGTATCAGAGAGATTTTATCCAACTACTGATAGAAACAGTTGAAAACCCATAGGGAAAAAGTAGGTTGACATCATGAAAAAAAGATTGTAGGATCCAGAGGGGTCAAAGACACCATAAGAAAATCTACAGAATTCACTAATACATTCATAGGGGCTCAAAGAGATTGAACTGACAATCAGCAATCCGGTGTGTGATTCAATTAAGCACTATGCATTTTTTTTCAGTTTAAACTTCATTATAAAAAGGTACAATGTGTGGTAGAGAGATCTTACCAAAATTTATTCTAATAAAAAACTAAAATACCAATTTAAAAATTATAGATGACTAATGAATTGATTTTTGGTAAATTTTAGAAACTAGTAGGATTTCTAAACGGCCAAATTGAGAACCTTATACTGGGTTGCCTTGTCCACAATGGGAGGTGCTTAGATCAAGTTGTCAGCATGGTAAGATTAAAGTCGAAAGATTCTGTATGTACATGGTGCCGAGTATTGAAGTGGTTTATTGACTAAAGTGTTAAGTGCTTGAAAATGCAGAGAAGCATGACTCAGAGAAGACACAAGAGACTCCACGCCACTTTCTATTAAATCTTTAGTTGTAAAACAGACACAGGCTTTGAGGGGAACTCCAAATTTGGATTGGAGTAATTGAAGATGTCATTTAACCAGATAGATGTGACATTTTGGAACGCTAGAGTACTATATAGTAATCTTCAACATAGTGACCTTCTCTAGACCTTAAGCTTTTATTTATTTATTATTTTTGCGGAGATGGGGAGCTTCAAGTAGGGTTGCCCTGTTTTGCTTTGGAGTCTGTCCTGGCACTTGCTCCATAGACCAGGCTGGCCTCAAACTCACAGAGATTCCCCCTGCTCCAGCCTCCCAAATAAGTACTGTGACTAAAGGCCTGAGCCATCACTGCCCTGCTGTCTTTTAAGCTTTTTAAAGTAAACAAAATTGGAAGAGTTTATGGTTTTCTTATTATTTTACATAATATGAAAAGAAAGTTTCAGCATTTGGAAATGCATTTAATGCTTTAGCATACTTTTCACTTCCATAACTTCAAAGAGAGGGTTGTTTAAATCATATCGAAGGGTTATTTTTGTTTCTTGAAAAATGTTCAACTGTTCCTGAGTAGATTTTATTTTTCTCAATGACTCCCAGTTCTGTCAATTGCATGTATAATTTATGGTTTGTTGACTACGTTATCGTGTTCATCAGAGAGTTCAAACATTTTGCTACTATCAGAAAGAGTAACAGTTAAAGAGAACCCCATAAGAACAGTAATTTCACATAAGAACATCACCTTACATACAGTCTACATTGACCTCAGTAACTATGATTTTTATGTAAGTTAAACATATTACAGAAATGCAAATATAAACTATTAATGTACTGTAGATTTAGATTTTTTTAGTTACTGACTTGATTCTGACTATTTATGTTGTTCATTGTGTATTATCTAAATCCAAATAATTTTAAAACTAGCAAAGTCTTTGTAGAAGAACCTTTGGTGACATTTTAGTGGAAAATGGATCACAGATTATGAGATGTCCTTATCATGTCATATCAATCTAACAAGTGATTTCTTTTACTTTTCATTCACTATTAACAGCAATGAAAAAATAAATTAAAATCTGATGTGTTTTTATTGTAGTAGAAATGAATATTAGTAAAAAAGGCTGAATCCATGATATTACTCTCATGTTTCTCAGGCTATTTTTATATCTTGTTGTCTTTTATATGCTAATTGCTATTGTTATACTTAGAAGTAAAATCAAATTTTTAAAATAAATGGATTTTTTTCACATGAAACCACTGACATTTAATTTTTCTTTCCATAGGTCTCATATATTTTGGGTTAACAGAAGTCTACCTTTATGGGGCTTACAGGTTATGTACAATTTTATTTTATTCCTCTTTTTCTATATTCATTAACCATGCACAGAGAAAAACTATTGTGAAGTTAACTATTGATAGTCAAGTTGAGTTTGCCTTTATGGTTTACCTTAATGCCCAACACAGGCAAACATTTTGACTTATTTCTTCGTATATTTTTTGAGCCTTACATTCCAACTTTAAGGATTTTCCTTGTAATATGGATTAGACTTCAGAAAGTGTTGGAAAATTAGAATAGGTAAATAACAAAAATGAAAGCAGTGTTTCAACTACTTTACATGACTCACTTATTCAACTCCTTTAAGAAAAGTCAAGCAATACAGCTGTGGGCACTTTTATATTCAGGAAAGGGAGAATCTAAATAAATGAATGTATACATTGAAAAGACCAGTAAAGTCTTACTAAAGTAAAACCATAGGCAAGAGTAAAGTATGTTTGAATTATATACCAGAGTTCCCTGGAGTCAGCTGCCTAGCCTTATTTTTTGTTTCTATTAGTCGTGGTGTACATAATTGTCTTTGTTAGATCCTGTCACGTCTCCTTATATTTATGTGCTATAAGTCATTTTTTTTCACTTTATGTTCTTAAAAGTGCAAACTACATGAAAGATAGAATCACTAACATAGAGAGGACTTGGAGTTTTCAGGGAAAAATTTATAATTCATTGCCTGCATTCAATTTTCCTGCAGTTCTATCTAGATCGGGATCTTTATTGCCCTAGAAAGTCATGCTGATTCTTTTCACATAATGTATGATAATAAATGGTTTTGAAAATGCAGCAGGATTATACCACAACTAAAAATTTCTATGTGCACTTCAGGTTTTGCTTAAGTGAATCTAACTACATTGATTTATACTGACTTCTGTTTATTTTTCAATTGGTGTGCAAACAATCCTTCCCAAATACCTTCCCAAATATTAGATGATCATTAAAATATAATTTTATAGTTCTCATATAAATATTCTATCATTATTGCATAAAAATTAAAATTAATTAGTATTTAAAAGTCTTATAGTTTCCTAAATTACTTATATTCAATTTGAATTCTATTCTGAGTAGTGTGTAAAATAGCATGCTAGAATTTTCTAGAGCTCCCTAAACTATATTCTATTATAAAATAGGATAGATAATGATGATAGAATGTTTGTGGAGAAAATCAAAATATTCTTAACTTTCTATTATAAAAGTGACCAGGTGCATGCATGCATGGACAGATTTACTTGGATTGTTGGACATTCATCTGTTTTCATTGTGCTAATATTTGCTGCTCCCAAAATTTTTAAAATTTCATTTTAGCAGGAAACAACTTTTAAATCCTCAAGCTGTATCATTTCTGAATATAAAGTGTTGTAAACTTTTATTAAACAAGAAGTATAGTTGCTTTTGTATAATCTCCTGTTTTCATATTTCATTCTTCTCTCCATTTTCAACTAATGAGAAGGCAGTGTATGTATTTCCGTGGAAGATTAGTTGCCTAGGATATGAGAGGTCTGGGGTTCCATTCTTCAGCATCACAAAGGGAAAATACTTGTAATTCAATTATGTAATAAATAAAACACCACTGAAGAAAAGTGCCTGGATTTCTCTATTTTCCTGTTCCATGTGTCCTGACAGACACAGCAGCGATTGCATATACTTCAGAGCAAGCCAGGAAAGGCTCTTGTCTCAAACAACAGAAGACTAACATTTCCAACCAGAAAAGTAAAATCGGTCATGGAATGGTTCTGTTACCTCAAAATATCCTGCATGGCTAAAATGACCCATTTTTAGTGTATTTAAAAATGTTTGCATTACATATTTCTTGAAGTCGATGAAGCAATACTTATTTTGAAAGTTATATTTGGCTTTCTAAAGGGAAACACTGATTTAAGCAGTGATGTTCAGAAAATTATGTATCTTGTCCATTTTAGTCAGTCTGAATATTTGACTCTCATATTTGCAAAGAATTAACAAAGTTCATTAAGAATATGTGAAATTGCTGGACATGATGGCACATGTCTTTAATCCCAGCACTTGGGAGGCAGAGACAGGCAGATATTTATGAATTTAAGGACAACCTGGTCTAGAGTGGCATTCAGGGTTGTTACACAGAGAACCCCTGTCTAAAAAAAAAGTTAAAAGAAAGAAAGAAAGAAAGACACACACACACACACACACACAGAGAGAGAGAGAGAGAGAGAGAGAGAGAGAGAGAGAGAGAGAGAGAAGGGAAAAAAATCTTTAAATTATGAAAACTAAGGTGCAATACTTGAGGTAGTAAAGCATTTTGTGCATCTCCTAACCTGCCGATTAAAATGTAAGTAATATTTTCATTTGTTTCATGTGTGTGCGTGCACACGTGCATGTGTGTGGATTTTTACATATTTGTATACAGTTACTAGTACATTGTGAAAGCATATTTATTTACTTTGCATTTTCTCATTAAAAACAATTTGTTTTAGGTCTCAGTGGCATTGATCAGTCTATTTGAAACAATACTCCTTGGTTATCTCAGTTACAAGGTAAGATAGTCTAATTAGTTTTCTGCTGTAGAACTCATTGCTAATATTTACCAAGTTTTCTTCTTTTTATAATTCATACTTGGGGATAAGGCAGGCTCTTCTTAAACCACTTTAATTATTCAGAGCCTCTCTAGTATGTGATAAAAAACTATAGTAATATGGTAGGATTTTCCTTGGTGCCTTAGAAGTACTTCACTAATTCCTTTGAGTTTACTTACCCATGATGTGTATGCTTCTATTGAGTCAGTGGAATGATGCTGAGTCTTATTGTTCTGAATCTCTTCCCTTAATATGTTAAAAAATAAAAAAACAATTGTACCTTTAGGAATTATTTTAATACATTATTTTAATTACTGAAGAAGTTCTGTTTGGTTAACACATTTTATCAAGTATTTATGAAGTGCTCCTATTTAATGAACTCTTCAATCATGGCTCTTTTCTCGATGGCATTGAAGTTAAAAAGATGGGGTGTTGGGAGACATTATGCAAACAAGCACAAAATCAATCAGAAAGTAAGAAGCAGTGTTTGACAAGTATAAATGAATATGATGGGTGCAGGAAAAGAAAGGCTGTATCTTATGATTAAAAGAAGCACTTCAGTGATAAGCAGATTCCTATGTCAATGGTTTTAATAAGGCAATGTAAAAAGACAGGGGCACTGGAATGGATAAATTAGCAAAGGACTTTATAAGAGAATATCAATATGAAGTGGAAGAATGGCAGATGACTACATTTGGGTAAAATATGGATACCTTGTTTGGCAATTGTTTTGAACATCTGGGTAACACAACTCTAAATAAAACACTTCTCACAGTCTATGTCTTTGGTGAGAAATGATACAGTGTGCAGAGAAAAATCAATGATGAAGCTGGGCATGATCATGCACCACTGTAATTATAGGTTTGAAGACAAAAATAGGAGGAATCAGAAATCAAGGCTAAGTTAAACTACATAGAAAGTCTGAAAAGTAGCCTGAGTTTCATGAAGTTATGAAAAAAAAAGACAGAAAAAGGAAAGTAAAAGAAAATAATAACCAACCAACCAAACCAAACCAAGAAACAGGAAACCAGACTTAATGAAAAGAACCATTTGTGAGAATTAGGTAAAGTCAAATAAGTTGTTATAGCTGGTGAAAGGTTATGAAGACAGAAGATAAATAAATAATGAGCTGATTGACTTGAATCAATTAAAAAAAAAGGAAACTAAAGTGCCATTCTAAAGGTTTTCTGAATCGAGATGACTGGAAACAATAATGAAGCTCTAATAAAAAAAATCAAGGAAGGTAGAACAGACCTGGATTTGGAGATTGTGACATAGTGGTGGACAGAGATGTATGATATGAAAACACCTGAGAGTGAGGATTAAGATCTACAAGATTCATTAGTACTCAATGTTCATCTTTACAGAAATGATAAAGGAGTCAGGGACATCTCATGCAAAGAATCAACGTCAAAGAAGGAGCCGAACACTTGAGGTGTGGAACTGATCACCTTGTAGGTTTTCTAGAGAATGTACAGAAATTGGAAGACAGAATAGAAGTGGAAGGAGAAAGTACTACTTTCGCTTATTGTCACACATAACAGTATAAGATTACAAGGTTCTCATTTTGGAAGAACTGTTGTTTACTCTCTAATTTATTTCCTAATTTTCAAGATTAAACTACTTTTTTCATAATTTTGATAAAGTAGTTCTTACCAATTCAATGTTTCTTCTATTTCTATTTAAATTTTCATTAATCTTACCTAAAATACCTTAAATATAGTATCAACTTCTTTGGGGGAAATATGATGAATAAAAATGTATGAAAAAAATTAACAAGCATTAAAATACAAACAGTATAAAAAGGTGAAAACCAAGATACTAGAAGTGTCTAAAGGGGATCAGTATTGCATGAGTGTATGTGAACTATGAAAAATGCGTGAAGTTTCTGAAAGAGACAGGGAACTCTCCACTCACCTTCAGAAAGCCATCTTACTGAAGCACTATTGACAATAAGATTCATTTAATCAGAATGTTGTTTTACTGGGGCAGGAACATGCTAGCAGAAATGACTCAGAGACAGTACTCTAATAATGGAGATTATCTACATTGCTTGAAAAGAGAAAATATAGGCAGGATAAAGAATGATGGAAGGAGAAATTTTATGGAAGGTAATGAAAAACCAAACAAAGAAACTGGGATTTAGACACCAACTGAGATAAAGTTCCATTCTCATGAGAGAATATGGAAGATGAGGAGCAATGAAAACGCATATATTTACATTACTTAGAAAATACTATCCCGTTGATATTCTGTATTAATAGAGGGATAAACTTTTAATAATCTCTGTCTTCTTGCCGTAAATGTGCACTGCAAGTTTGTCCTGATGAACAGATGACTCCCGATTTTCAATTACATAAACTGCAAAATAGAAATGTGAGAATTGTCTTTGAAGTTATTTAATGTTCAGGTGTGTGATCAATGTTGGATGTGAAGCCTAAGAGACTTAAATCTAACTAAGTAGGCATGTGGATCCTTTTGATATATTAGGCTTGTCTCTTTCACTTGTGCATGCTTATTTGAAGAAACATAACATAGCCAAATGAATATATTTCCTCCAAATTTCAACTACAGGTGATATGAAAATTATTTTTCTTCCTTGCTAAAAGAACTTCCAGCTCTGATTGAAGAAGTTTAAATTTAAAATGTACAAGGAGATGCAGGATAATTTTCCATTGAAATTATATGCGGATGACATTCATAACTCATTACATCTTATTATTGAGAAAATGATAGCAGAACATTATAAGTCTTAGCAGACTAAGCTTGATGATATATAAAATTTCTTTCTAATCCCCATAAACTTTAATGCCTTTGCTAGAAGAGAAATAGATGTTGACGTCCAAAAAGTTACAAAGAAAATAGAAAATATAAAAACAAATTTGGGACAGTAGAATTAATTTTTATTAATTATCTTCTTTTCCGCTCATAAATTTAGTCAAATTCATGAACTTTTGACCTAGCCATTACAGTGTTTCATAACTTCTTTGCAATGAATAAATTAAATAATTGGTAATAATTTATGGCCTATAAATGTTTTATAAATGTGCTTTTTTTCTACAATCTAATATTTTTAAAACTAGAAGATAGACTTGCAAAAACGGTATATAACTGCCATTGTAAGTTCTGTTTATATTTAATATTGCTTGATACCCAGAGTACTGAGATATCAATGTGACTAGACACTAAACTTATATATATATATGTGAAATATATTATATATAATATATTATATACATAATTTATTTTTATAGAAATATTGGTATTTGTATATTTAATATTAAAAATATGGTATTAAACAAGCATTTAAACCATCAACATCAAACATTTTGCAATGAGAATGAATTGAATTTTAACAATTATAAAAGTTCAATGCATCATGGAGACCAAATCTATCTTTAAACCACGGTGCTCTCATAAAATACAGGGCGTTACTCCAATTTTTTGTATCTGTTGAGGTTTGCTTTGTTACCTAGTATGTGGTCAGTTTTAGAGAAGGTCCCTTGAGGTGCTGAGAAGGTATATTCTTTTCATTTTGGTGGAACGCTCTATATATTTCTCTTAAGTCCATTTGGGTCATGACATCTGTTAATTTTCTTCTTTCTCTGTTAAGTTTCTGTCGGGTTGACCGGTCCATTGGGAAGAGTGGGGTGTTGAAGTCTCCTACTATTACTGTTTCAGGTTTGATGTGTGATTTAAGCTTTAGTAATTTTTTTAAATTTATTTATTTATTTATTTATTAAAAATTTCCACCTCCTCCCCACTTCCCATTTCCCTTCCACTCTTTCCCTCCACCTCCCTCTCCAGTCCTAAGAGCAGTCAGGGTTCTCTGCCCTGTGGGAAGTCAAAGGTCCTCCCCCTTCCATCCAGGTCTAGGAAAGTGAGCATCCAAACACATCAGGCTCCCACAAAGCCAGTCCACATAGTAGAATCAAAACCCAGTGCCATTGTCCTTGGCTTCTCAGTCAGCCCTCATTGACAGCCACATTCAGAGAGTCTGGTTTGATCACATGCTCCATCAGTCCCAGTCCAGCTGGCCTTGGTGAGCTCCCATTAGATCAGTCCCACCGTCTCAGTGGGTGGACGCACCCCTCTTGTGGTCCTGACTTCCTTGCTCATGTTCTCCCTCCTTCTGCTCCTCATTTGGACCTTGGGAGCTCAGTTCAGTGCTCCAGTGTCGGTCTCTGTCTCTATCTCCATCCATCGCCAGATGAAAAACAAGGAATGTGATTTTTTTCTTTTTTTTTTTTAACATATGTGGGTGCTCTTTCATTTGGGTCATATATGTTCAGAATTGAGATTTCATCTTGATGGATTGCTTCTGTTATGAACATGAAGTGTTATTCTGCATCTCTTTTGATTGATTTCAATATGAAGTCTATTTTGTTAGATATTAGAATAGCTATACCTGCTTGTTTCCTAAGTTCATTTGATTGGAAAATCTTTTTCCAACTTTTTATTCTAATGTGATGTCTGTCTCTGAGGTTGATAGTGTTTCTTGTATACAGCAGAAGGCTAGTCCTGCTTTCATATCTATTCTCTTAGCCTTTTTATAGGTGAATTTATTCTATTGATATTAAGATATAGTAATAAACAGTGATTGTTAATTCCTGTTGTTTTAGGTGGTAGAGTTTGTGTGTTTCCCTTCTTTGGTGTTGGCTGGTGTGTGGTTATCTTTTGTCTGTGTTTTGTGTGTACAGTTGGCTTTGTAGGGTTGGAGTCTTCCTTCTAGTATTTTCTGTAAGGCTGTTTTTGTGGGTAGGTATTGTTTGAATCTAGTTTTGTCATAGAATAACTTGTTTTCTCCATAGATGTTGATTGATAGCTTTGCTGTTAATAGGACTCTGGGTTCACATTCATGGTCCCTTAGTGTTTGCAGCACATCTGTCCAGGACCTTCTGGTTTTTATGGTTTCAATTGAGAAATTGGATGTATTTCTAATAAGTCTGGCTTGTATGTTA